GAGCAGGGAGCCCGATGTGGGACTCGATCCCAGGACCCTGGGATCATGACCTGAGCCGAAGGCAGATGCTTAACTGACTGAGCCACCCAGGTGCCCCTTCACTGCCTTCTCTTAATATAACTTGTTTTCTCTTACTCTCCACCCCCAACCTCCTTAATCTGTCATGCCAAAGGTTTATTGCTCTTTTCAAGAAACTAGCTCTTAGTTTTACTTCTCAAGTCCGTTTGACCCAGAAGCATGATTCTAGAGTGGAAGTTATAGAAACACTTCAGAGTGGGTATATCCTGGAAATATTTCTGATTCAGTTTTTGAAATTCCTTTGGAATAAGCCACAAACATCTCCACCACTCAACAAGACAGAGGATCTGAGCATGACATTTGTGCTAAAATACCATGTAGAACATAAGGTGACAGCAGAGTTTCATTAAAGCCAAAGGAATGGTGGGGCGCCTGGGTGATTCAGTCAGTTAAGCCGTTAAACTGCTGCCTTTCACTCAGGTCATGATTCTGGAGCCCGCATAGGGCTCCCTGCTCAGCGGGGCATCTGCTTCTCCCTCTGACCTCCCCCCCCCCCCCCGGTCTCGTGCTCTCTCTCTCACACTCTCTCCCTCAGATAAACAAAATCTTAAGAAAAAAAAAAAAGGCAAAAGAATAGGACTACAGCCTGTTTTAAACTGCTATCTCAAGCAGCTCCTAAAATTTTGAACACACCCAGACACACCCTTCCTCTTTCATCTAATTCAGAAAATGTGTGGACAAGATTGTTGAACTCATACCCTCTCTTTAATGTTTAAATAGACTGGTGTCTGTAATGCAAATGATTACTGGTGTTGAGCCTTTTGTCATTCTGTGGAGAAAATCAGCGTGTGTGCGTGCGTGTGTGTGTGTGTGTGTGTGTGTGTGTGTGTGTAAAATACTCATGTTGGGAATACTGGACCGAAGCCCCAACTCTGGGCCAAAATATGATACATATCTCTGTTTTGAAGATACTTTGACTTATCTCAGGTGATTTATCTCAGATACTTTATCTTATTTATTTACCTGTTTTATATCACAGGCGTGTGTACGCATGCACATGCATGCGTGCACCCCCCCCCTTGAGATGGAAGGCCCCATAAGGAAGCTTGGTTATCATTAAAAATATAATCAAAGCATGAAACAAGAAGGCAATTTGAACTACAAATAAGAACTGACCACACAACTCTTCTATCTCAATGATGCCTTGTCTCTCATCTTTGTATGTGAACTTAGGTACAGAACACCAGAGTCGGCATTCCCTTTCACTGGTGCTGAAACCGCACCTCATTGGTTATATCCTCATGTCATCTGGTTTTGGGAGAATGCAGGGTTTCCTTCATCCTTCCCTTTCCTTCTCCTTTCTTTCTTTCTTTTTTTAAGATTTTATTTATTCATTTGAGACACAGATACAGAGAGAGAGAGCATGAGCGGGGGAGAGGCAGAGAGAGAGGGAGAAGCAGGCTCCCTGCTGAGCCAGGAGCCCGATGTGGGGCTCGATCCCAGGACACTGGGATCACGACCTGAGCGAAGGCAGACGCTTAACCATCTGAGCCACGCAGGCGCCCCTCCTTCTCCTTTCTTTTGCCTTTACTATTGTTCTTCATGATAGGCTAACTTGATTTTCACATGAAAATAGGAAGTCTTGCCAAGTGCCTGACAAAATATGAAGATTCTCACTGAGCTTCCTCTTTTTTTTTTTTTTAAGATTTTATTTATTTGACAGAGAGAGTGAGAGAGCACAAGCAGGGAGAGCAGCAGAGGGAGAGGGAGAAGCAGGCTCTCCACCAAGTAGGGAGCCCGATGCGGGACTAGATCCCACGACCCTGGGATCATGACCTGAGCCGAAGGCAGACGCTTAACGACTGAGCCACCCAGGTGCCCCCTCACTGAGCTTCCTCTTAATAGGTTATATATTCAGTGAGTAGTGTCACCTGTCTGAAATGTCAATACAATGAAAAACTCGAACAAAACTAAAGGAAAGGGAGCTCAGTTTAGTCATTTTTCATAATTAAGCAATTTCTGTGCAGAGCTGAACCACTTACACATTTGTTTAGTTAGTGCAGTGTAGTGGTTCAAGTCAGGAGTCCTGAAATCACACTGCCTGGTTTCAAAGCCAACCTTCCACTTACTGGCTGAGTGAACCCTGGGCAATTACATCTCCGTTTTGAGCTATAGGTTCTTTATCGGCTAAGTCAGTATGATTTCTACCTCCGACAGTTTCTATGAACATTAAATGAGGTGACATATGCAGTAGACATAGCACAATGTCTGGCATGTGGTAACTGCACAACACATATCAGCTGTTACTAATTTTTTTTTTTTAAAGATTTTATTTATTTATTCATGAGAGATGGAGAGAGAGAGGCAGAGGCAGAGGGAGAAGCAGGCTCCCCGCGGAACAAGGAGCCCGATGCGGGACTCGATCCCAGGACCCTGGGATCATGACCTGAGCTGAAGGCAGACGCTTAACCGACTGAGCCACCCAGGTGTCCCTCAGCTGTTACTAATTTATTTCAGCTAAATGTGGGAGCCATTGGTCAACTCTCAATGTTGTGAAAGATACAAAGATCAGCTTGCAATACAGTTTCAGCCCTCAGGAGAAACAAGTGAAAAGATGACAGAGATGCAAAGTAGAGTGTATTTATACATGAGAGAGGAAGGGAAGAGCAAAGTACCAGCACTGTGCAAGTGAGAAGGGGTCACTTCGGCCAAAGAAGTTCCAAGAAAGATAACAAAGAGGAAGTCCTTTTTGTGAACTGAATGAAGAACGAGAAGGAAGTAATTAGACTTCTCAGTGGAAGAGAGGAGGCTATTCTAGGAAGAAAGAATGTTGTTGGCAAAGGACACGTGAAACTGTGGGTTGTGTGTGGGGGAAGGCTGGCCCATCCTGTCTGGGTTGGATTATGGACATAAAGATGACTTGTTCAATCAGAGAAAGATAATTATCATATGGTTTCACTCATATGTGGAATATAAGGAATAGCGCCAAGGGTCATGGAGAAAGGGAGGGAAAACTGAATGCGAAGAAATCAGAGAGGGGAACAAAAGAAGAGAGACTCTTGACTCCGGGAAACAAACTGAGGATTGTGGAAAGGGAGGTGGTTGGGGGGATGGGGTAATTGGGTGATGGGCATTAAGGAGGGTATGTGATGTGATGAGCACTGGATGTTATACGCAACTAGTGAATCATTGAACATTGCATGAAAAACTAATGATGTATTATATGTTGGCTAATAGAATTTAAATAAAAAAAAGAAAAAAAAAGATGACTTGTGCCGTATATGTTTCGAAATGTGGGTCAGGACCTGAGCCTAATTTGGAAAGTAATAAGGAAACATAGGATACGTATGACAGCCATTGTAAAAATGGTATTTAAAGAATGTGTAGGAAATCAGTCCTGAGTTTTTTCGATGAAACACAATGAATTTCTAAATTATAATCAAGCCACTTTGGGTCAATTCAGATATGTCATTTGTGCCTCTGTCTCTTTGTATTCATTGATGTGCGCTTTTTTTTTTTTTGCCTTATTTTTTCCTTATACAGGTATGGTCTCCATCCCTTTGTACATCCCTCACTTGCTGTTCGATTGGGACTTTGGAAATGGACTCTGTGCATTTTGGCTCATTGTTGACTATCTTTTGTGTACAGCATCTGTGTATAACATTGTTCTCATCAGCTATGATCGATACCAGTCAGTCTCGAATGCTGTAAGTCAAAACATTCATTCACCTTCTTTAGAAGATGACATACTTGTACATTTTGCATCCCCAAGCAGAAATTTTTTTAAGTGTAGTTTTTTGTTTAGTTGGCAAACCTTAGAGGAGCCTCATTATCCTTCTGTTATTGGGCACTACGTTTTCATTGGCCCTTAGTGAACAATTTCTGTGTGTGATTTGGCTAAGTCACTCACTCCCCTACGTGCCACTAGCGTGGGAAGGCCGTCAAAGAAAATCCAAGGCAAGTTGTCGAAAGTGGTATACTGAGTCCACAGTAGATTGGATATACGTGTGAGTCACAGTAGACTTATCAAGTCCATTCTTACACAAACTAAGACCTGAATATTTTCCTCAGGTGGGACCTGGTGGGCAAGTAGAAAGATGCCCAGACTTTTGAATGTCATGAGAAAATCAATTTTGAATGGCCAAAGGAGAAAAGACAGTATACAGAGAAGCTATAGGTTAGACAGTGGGACCAGCCTGGGAGATCAAGTCCCAGTGCCAGTGTAGGATCCATGCCAAGAAAGTCTGAATTGACCCGAGATTTGGAATCTTGGTTTCAACAAGTTAGTGACAGTTCTTAAGCAAGCTAAATTTATCAGCAATAGAACAAGGGGAAAAACAAGGCAGATACAAGAAAAGACAGAAGGTGTCAGTATGGGGCAGTAATCTGCAGTCTTCGAGACCTAGATGGGAAACCTCCTTCACTCCTGAGTCCCAGGGCCCACATCTTTGGGGGATGCGACTGTGTGCAAGGGATTTTGCTAAGTGCTGGGATATAGAAATGAAGCATCAGTCTCCACTTTTGAGGAGCATAATAGGCTAATGTGGAGACAGATCCAGAAACAGGTGGGCTCAGTACCATGGACTAGGTGTGGTGTTGGAGATGTTGAGAGGCCAGTGACAGCTTTGGCTTGGGAGGACTGAGCAGCTTGGAGCAGAAGGCTTGGGAGGGTATATTGCAGAAGGCAAGGATCAACTGTAGGAACAAAGATGAGGCTCAAGTAAGATAGAAATTTATTTTCCTCTCACAGAACATTCCAGGAAAGCCTTTTCTCCAGGAACTCATCCAGGGACCTAGGCTAACCGGGTGGTTCTGCACCTTCTAGGGCAGGGGTCAGCAAACTTTTTCTATAAAGGAACCTATGGTCTCTGTTGCAGCTGCTCAAATCTGCCATTATGACACAAAAAGAGTCATACATAATATGTTAAAGAAAAAAGGAATGATTCATTCATTGTGTTCCAGTAAAAATGTATTTATCCAAACAGGTGGTGGGCCACATTTGTTTCATGGACAGTAGTTTGCTGACCCCTGCTCTAGGTCATTATTCTCCTCTGCATGGTCAAGGCCAGGTTGCTGCCACTCCAGGTTCTAGAAAGGATGGGTAAAGGGCAGAAGTCCAGGGCAAGGGGTTTTCTTTTAACCAAGTAGCGCAGAATCATACAATCATTTCCACTCACATTTTACTGGTGACATTTAGTCACATGGTCTCCCATCTCACTGCAACAAAAGCTGGGAAATGTGGTCTCTAGCTGAGCTGCCGTACTGTCAGAAAGAAGGGGGGAAAGAATGTGTTGGGACATCCAGACGCTTGGCCTCGGGTACGTCATTGGCACCAGAGTCCACTGCAGTTGGTACTAGACAAACTATGGAGAGAGTGCAGATCAGCTTGGATGAGCAATTCAGATGCCTATAAGCTCATGGTTTTCAAATTGCAGCTTGTGATCCATTATTGAGTCATGAAGTCAGTTCAGTGGGTTGTGACCACCTTTTTTTAAAATGAAAAAATACAGAAAAACCATAGTAAAACAGAATAAAAATAGAGTATAAAATATCAGAGTACCAGGTACATAATAAATATAAGTATTATTTTATGAGTACTTCTGTCTGTGCACTTAGTGATGACATAAAATGTATTTCTTAGTTTGAGTTCATCAAAATGTTCGAAAAAGAGTGCTCTAATTCATAATCTTTCCCATTTGTGCTGAAACATTTCCTTTTTTTTCTGGGTTAGCATTTCTTTTTAGTCTTCACTGGATGTTCCTAGTTAGTGTTTGCTAGGACATCCCTTTGCTGGATGTCCGAGCCCTTGGGTCTACCTCAGTTGTGTGCAAAGGTAAGAGAGAGTTTGTACAGTTAGGAAAAGTGTGTAGAAGTCACAAAGACATGAGGACTGATGTCCAGAGAGAAAATGAGTGCATTTGTTTCCTAGTCTTGCCCTGAGGAATTCCCCTGGCCACGCAGGCTCTAAATTTGGTGAGGGCTGGGTCGGCTGGATCCAAGAGCCTCAGTACGTAAGCACGGAGTCAAGTGTGTAACAAGAGCTCCACACCCCAGTGCATGGATGCTCGCAAGGGGCGCTCAGGCAGCTCTTGGGCCTTTGTTGGCGAAGAGTTCAAATGCAGCAGCGTGAGCCAGGAAGCCCTCAAAGACCACTGAAGCTCGTAGGAAGTGGTTGTGGGGAAGCCGAGCTCTTGCGGTAGTTCAATGTGGAGAGACAGTATGATAAGTCAGGGTCATGGGCTGGGCCTGGGAAATGGAAATCTGACAATAATCTGGAAAAGGAAGGCCCAATACTGATGGCAGTGTGTGATTACAGTGCTCAGACACATTTTCTGGAGAGGCAGATTTCCATGTGGCTGAAGCAAGAGTGGGTGGGGGAAAGTAGCACAGGGTAGTTGGAAGGAGTAGGAATTCAAATGCATGCAGAATTAAGATAGTAAGTGGAAAGAGTATTTTTTTTTTTTTTTTTTTTTACCTGAAGATGAAGAAGGAAGCTTGAGAATAAAATCAAGACCATGAGAAATATGGTTGCTGGAGGGTGGCTAGATTCCTAGGACTGCTGTAATTAAGTACTGCACATTGGGTGGTTTAAGACCACAGAAACTTATTCTCTGGAATACATTTAATGTTTGGAGACCTGAAGTCCCAAATCAAGGCAGAGGCAGGGCGATGCTCTCTCTGAGGGCTCTAGGGCTGCCTGTTCCATGCCTTTCTCTTAGCTTCTAATATTATCAGCCATCCTTGGCATTCCTTGGCGGTCCTTGGCTTGTGTCGCTACAGTCTCTGCTTCCATTGACACAGGGTGTTCTCCCTGTGTGTTTGTGTCTTTCTTATAAGGACACCAGTCATATTGGATTAGGGCTCATTGAATATGACCTTATCTTAACTTGATTATATCTGCAAAGACCCTACTTGCAAATGAGGTCATGTACGCAGGTACCGGGACTTAGGACTTCAACCTGTCTCTTTGGAGGACACAATTCAACCTGCAACAGGCACTTACGATGGCTCTGCAATGCCATCTCATTATTTTTTTTTTAAAGATTTATTTATTTATTTGAGAGAGCGAGAATGAGAGAGAGTACATGAGAGGGGGGAGGGTCAGAGGGAGAAGCAGGCTCCTCGCCGAGCAGGGAGCCCGATGCGGGACTCGATCCCGGGACTCCAGGATCATG